ACAGATACTACCCCCTCTTAATTTTAAACCTTCACTCCCTTCTCAGCATTGGGGATAAAATTGTTTTCTGGCAAACCTCCTGGTGAATGGAGGAATGAATCAAGGACTATTCCTGGGGCAAGAGATCCCAGACAAAACTCCTGTCATCTTCTCATGGGGAGTTCCTCCAAAACAAAATCAATAGTCAATTGTTACGTCACCAATCAGAAGAAATAAGGGGCCGGACAAGGGTAATACACCCTTTTCTTCTTTGTTCTCTGGAGTTTCTCATTTTAGGACACTTAATAAGATTTTTAAAATGAAATCCACAGACCTTGCTGGAATGGGTTTCTTGGTAACCATATTGTGTATTGTTAGAAAACACACTATAATTTGTACAAGGTTCTTCTGACACAAGGGAAGGGCAATTTGGCAGGTGTGTTTAAAGCATCACATATAATTTTTGAAGAAGGGTATGTGAAGAAGACAGAATGGCTGTAGTGTTCTCATTCCGGGGAAACAAAGTCTTTGCCTTCAAGGAGTTTTTGATGCTAGTGAGTGGAGATAGGTAATCAACAAACAGAAAAAAGTGAACATCAGATGGTTACGCGTTCTAAGGAGAAAAATTACACAGGTTCAAGGGATTGGGGGGAGCAGGTTGGATGTGGGAGGTGGTAGCCATTTCACATAGGGCCATCAGGGAAGGTTTTGCTGGGGTACCATTTAGATGAAGTCCTGAGGATGAGTGGGAGTGAGTGTTCCAGGTGGAGTGCATGACACATTGAAGGCTGTGAGGGAGGAGGGAAAGGAACAAGAGAGTTCAATGGAGTGAATACTGCCCTTCCTGCCCCTGCATGGGAACATAGATAGTATTGGCCCTCATAGGCCATTGTGAAGATGTTGGCTTCTACCCTGAATGAGATGTAAGACTTTGGAGGGTTTTGAGCAGGGGGGACCGTATCTGACTTACACTTTAAAAGCATCACTCTGGTGGTGTGTTGAGAAGTATAAGGGTGGGAGCTGGAGCAGGGAGACCAGTTAGGAGGCTGTTGAAATAATTCCTAGCAAGAAACATGGGTGGCTTGGATGAGGGTAGTACCACTAGAGATGGCAAGGACTGAGTAGACTCTGAAAATGTTGTGAAATGGAGCCAACACGATTGCTGACAGATGGAATAGAGATGGTGAGAGAAAGAGAGGGATGAAGGATGAGGCAAATATTTTGGGCTTGAGCAACCAGAAGGGAGGTGATGCTATTTCTGAGATGAGGGAGTGTACGGGAGGAACAGGGGTGGGGGGTGGCCATGGACATCAGGAGTCTGATCTGGGGCATGTTGAGCTGAAATGCTGATGAGCTACTCAAATGAAGAGGTCAGGAAGGCACGTGGTTGTGTGGTGGTGGAGGTCATAAGGAGGATTCGGAAGATGATGGTAGTGAGAGCTGTTAAGATTGAGTACCTGTTACTTGAGTGTATGAACACAATAAAGAACATTCTGTTTCATGTGTCTGCATTCAGAACCAAGAGATACGTTGAAACAAAAGCTGTACAGTTAGAGAATTGAAATGTCAACTTTATTGCTGATAACCACAGGATTAGAGAACGTGTCTATGGCAAAGTGGACTTGCCCATACTTTACTCTTGAGTCAGGTAGGCTTTTCCACCAGGCATGGTCAAGGTGGACAGTTTCAGGGGTGCGTCTCTTACTGCATGGAGGTACTGAGCAGATCAGAATGTTAGGGTCTGCTCAGGTAAGCAGATCTTGAATGAACTCTTACCACACAGACCTTGAAAGTCGCTTTCTTCTCCTTAAACTTGCCAAGCAGTCAATGCATAAGTCATTCTTCTCCCTCTAGAGAGAGGCTCCTGAGGTTTGGGGAGAGAAGCCAGGGTGAGCACTAACTCTAGCTAATGGAGCCTCGGGCGTTGGGAATACTTATCTCCCTGGTACCCATCTGATTGAATGTTATTCTTTACACTAATTGTTTCAAGTAATCTCCACATTTTTATCACCATTTTACAGATGAGGCAACTCACACTTAAAGATGCTACCTAAGATCGTATAGTTTACCTAAGATATAGTTTACCTAAGATATAGTTTACCTAAGATCGTATAGTTTGCAATGGGAAGATCTCTGTGTGATTTGACACTTGTCTTTAGTTCCTCTGCTATTTTTTTTTTGATTTCTACTAGAAATTAAATGTCTCAGCATTAATTATATTAAAACATCTGCTGTTCTTAGACCTAGAAACACATATGAGATATTAAAACTATCAAGTGTATTCCTGAATAAGTTGAAACACTTCAAAACTAGTAGGCGAAAATATGAAAGACAGAATTTTTATGTTTGGTTCAAACTGAAATGGCTTTTCTCCCCCCACTGATTAACTTTTTTTTTTTTTAACATCTTTATTGGGGTATAATTGCTTTACAATGGTGTGTTACTTTCTGCTTTATAACAAAGTGAATCAGTTATACATATACATATGTTCCCATATCTCTTCCCTCTTGCGTCTCCCTCCCTCCCACCCTCCCTATCCCACCCCTCCAGGCGGTCACAAAGCACCGAGCTGATCTCCCTGTGCTATGCGGCTGCTTCCCACTAGCTATCTACCTTACATTTGGTAGTGTATGTATGTCCATGCCTAGCGAAGGGGTGATCATTTTATTATTATTATTTTTTCTTATATAGGAAAATGTATATTTGTACCCTGTAAGGCAGTACAGCATTTATAACAAAACTATTAATTACATTCCAAATACAATCAGTGGAACAAAAGTATCACATACAGATGCTTTAAAAAACATGCAGCACGTTAGCAGAGGGGCTGTGTGGTAATATACAACTTTTTTGTTACCACAGTAATAGTTTAATGATTAGAATGAAGAAGTAGTGATTTAAGAATTTTATATCTCAATATGATAGTTACATATAAGCATTTTACTGTTTGGTTTTATTTTAGTAATTTGGTTAGGGACTTTGGGTGACATATCAATCATTATAATGCTTTCCTATTTAAATTATGAATTATGGGAAACTGGCTCTAGGCTAAGGTTTCATCAGGAACTGATTCATAACTTTGAGGAAGATTCCTGGAATATGTGTATGTGTGTATACATTCTTTTTTAAGTAGTCACTTATTGGTTTCCTATCATGCATCCAGTCTCCCCTTTTCCTTCCCCTTCCTAACACTATTCCTAACATTGAGTATCACCCCTTAGCCCATGCAACCCATGTGGTTTTGAGGAAACACGATCACACCCATGGAGGCAGGCCATGGTTGGCGGGAATGGCATATCCCACTGTTTCTAGAAAGCAATTCATCAGCACAGCATTCTTGGTTCAACAGTAAATGAGCATGGTATTTGGATATAAACTACTATTAGAAATAGAGCATTATCCCCTAGATGTAAACCTTTTGTTTACACCAACCCAAGCTGTAATTCTCTAAGCTGTAATACAGATAAAATTGTTCTTTCCGTACTAAAACAGAAGCAAGAACGTGCACAGTTCTAGGATAGTATGCTCTGGTTCTATATCCATTCATCTATTAACGTTCCTTTTTTATTTCTGCCTTGGAAAAATTAATCATGTTCAAAAAGTCAAAAATTATATTTCTAAAATATAATTCAATGACTTCACTATCCTTTATGAGCAAACATACCACTAATTTTATAAAACTTAAAATTGAACCTGTCTATAACTACATATCTTGCCTGGATAGTCACAGATATTTCATTCTGTAATAGAAGGAAGTGATTTTTCCAATGAGGAGTCAAGAGATCTATATTCTAGTTCAAACTCTTTAAAATTAACATATATAACATACTGCAACATAACACAAGATTTGTGGGAAGGATGAGCGAGATAGTGGTTCAGTTTCCTTTTTGTAAATCAAATGAGCTGGTCTATTTAATTGACAGTCCCTATTGTCCTTGATATTTGAAAATTCTAATTTAGGGCTCAGACTGTGGCCTTGTCATCCAAAAGAGCAACCAAATTAAAAGACACAACAATTCTTCTATTTTAGCTCATTATATATTAAAAAACTCAAAAAACCAAATATGCTATAATACATGTTACAAATGAACAAAAATCTACAAAGTTTATGGCAATGTATCATATAGAATTACCTCGCAATATTTTTATGTTTAAAGTGGACCTTTTTAAATACAGTACTTATATATTTCTCTTTCATATATTCATACTTGCCTTGGCAATTTGACATCTATATAAATCTTATGATCATTCTTTAATAAATACAAAAGAATAAAAACACCTATGAAATTTGGACACATTACCACTATACTTTGTTATATTTAACCCATCCAGATTCTTAGTTTAACTCATTCAATTACTGCAAAGATCTTTATAGAGCTGAATCTGATACTGTATAATAGTACATCACTGCCCTCTGATGGTACCACTAATATATAATTTTAAACTCAGCAAGCAAAAAAAAACCCAAAAAGTATTATAATGTAAAACACAGTATGTTAATTTTATAAGCGACAGAAGTAGAAAATAAATTAGGGGAAATTCAATGTTTTTTACAAATATTAATTTCTTAGTAAGTTATAAAAATTTACAGTGTTCCTTCATGTAAGCCCTTCAAATGATATTTCAAGATTTTCCCTGATGATCAGTATAAAGGCACTAAGTCCATAAGTTTAAGCAAAAGTCTTCACATATAATGAAATAAAGAGATATAAGATTAATTGGCAAACTATAAATAGCTAGGTCATTTTGTAAAGGAGGGAAAATACAAGTGCAAACTTTAATATCTGAGATGTATGCAGAATTTTTTCATGCAATATATAAATATATATTCACTATTTAGGCCCATGTTTTAACTACTAAAAAACGGCAAATCACCCACTGTCTGCAGAAGAGCAAATGTAGGGAAAATAAGTATTTAATGAAAGGTCTGGCCATTTTCTAAGTCTAACAATCAAAAGCATTTTCAATATTCAATTTTGAAAAAGCACTGCATTTAAGAGCACTAAAATGACGAAGTCTGAGTCTTCATTTATTCAAAGAGAAGAAATTAAATTGAGGATGTCCGATTGATTGCAGATACTAGTTATTGGCAGTAGACTCTTCCACTCATGTTATGCTTTATGAAACTGTCCACCTAAGGCCACCTTCTGGTGGGGGTCCAGATGCAGCCGTTTCTTTTTCTATTTTTTCCTTCTTCTTTCTCTTTTCTTCCACAGACTGAACATTCAGAATGCCCCGAGATGCAGCCTCCTTCTGTCTTCTTTCTGCAGCCTCTGCAAGCTTTGCTCTTTTTTCTTCCAGGTCCGGCGAAGGAGGCGCGGCCTCCGCGGGACAGGGAAAACACAGCCCCATGGGGATCGTGGCTGGGGGGGTTCCCCTCCTGGGTCCGCCCCAGACCAGGCCGTGCGAACTGCGCGATCAGACCCGAGTCCCAGTTCTATTATTATTTTTCAAACTATAGACATGAAAGCGTTGGTTTTTGTTATTGCTGATGGAGTGTTTAGGGTAGACATCAGTTAAGGGAAACTTTTATTCAAAGTCACAAAAGAATTTAGAAAAGTTGTTTCTCCAACCACATTAAATATTTAGATGCAATTTAAATAAAAAGGACTGTGGACTATTCATTCTTATTGGACTTATTTTTAGCAAAACTTTTTACTCTCACTTTTTTTCTTATTAGTTATTCATTTTATACATATTAGTGTATATATGTCAATCCCAATCTCCCAGTTCATCTGACCACCACCACTGCCCCTGCCACGTTCCTGCCGTGGTGTCCATACGTTTGTTCTCTACATTTGTGTCTCTCTTTCTGCCCTGCAAACTGGTTCATCTGTACCATTTTTCTAGATTCCACGTATATGCATTAATATACAATATTTCTTTTTCTCTTTCTGATTTACTTCACTCTGTAGGACAATCTCCAGGCCCATCCACGTCTCTATAAATGATCCAATTTCATTCCTTTTTATGGCTGAGTAATATTCCATTGTATATATGTACCACATCTTCTTTATCCATTCGTCTGTCAGTGGGCATTCAGGTTGCTTCCATGACCCGGCTATTGTAAATAGTGCTGCAGTGAACATTGGGGGTGCATGTGTCTTTTTGCATTATGGTTTTCTCTGGGTACATGCCCAATAGTGGGATTGCTGGGTCATATGATAATTCTATTTTTAGCTTTTTAAGGAACCTCCACAATGTTTTCCATAGTGACTGTATCAATTTACATCCCCACCAACAGTGCAAGAGGGTTCCCTTTTCTCCACACCCTGTCCAGCATTTGTTGTTTGTAGATTTTCTGATGATGCCCATTCTAACTGGTGTGAGGTGATACCTCATTGTAGTTTTGATTTGAATTTCCCTAATGATTAGTTATGTTGAGCATCCTTTCATGTGTTTGTTGGTAATCTGTATATCTTCTTTGGAGAAATGTCTATTTAGGTCTTCTGCCCATTTTTGGATTGGGTTGTTTGTTTTCTTGATATTGAGCTGCATAAGCTGCTTGTATATTTTAGAGATTAATCCTTTGTCAGTTGCTTCATTTGCAAATATTTTCTCCCATTCCGAGGGTTGTATTTTCGTCTTGTTTATGGTTTCCTTTGCTGTGCAAAAGCTTTGAAGTTTCATTAAGTTTCATTCCCATGTGTTTATTTTTGTTTTTATTTCCATTTCTGTAGGAGGTGGGTCAAAAAGGATCTTGCTGTGATTTATGTCATAGAGTGTTCTATGTTTTCCTCTAAGAGTTTTATAGCGTCTGGCCTTACATTTAGGTTTTTAATGCATTTTGAGTTAATTTTTTGTGTGGCATTAGGGAGTGTTCTAATTTCATTCTTTTATATGTAGCTGTCCAGTTTTCCCAGCACCACTTATTGAAGAGACTGTCTTTTCTCCATTGTGTATCCTTGCCTCCTTTGTCATAGATTAGTTGACCATAGGTGCGTGGGTTTATCTCTGGGCTTTCTATCCTGTTCCTTTGATCCATATTTCTGTTTTTGCACCAGTACCATATTGTCTTGATTACTGTAGCTTTGTAGTATAGTCTGAAGTCAGGGAGTCTGATTCCTCCAGCTCTGTTTTTTTTCCCTCAAGACTGCTTTGGATATTAGGGGTCTTTGTGTCTCCATACAAATTTTAAGATTTTTGTTCTAGTTCTGTAAAAAAATGCCATTGGTAATTTGATAGGTGTTGCATTGAATCTGTAGATTGCTTTGGGTAGTATAGTCATTTTCACAATATTGATTCTTCCAATCCAAGAACATAGTATATCTCTCCATCTGTTTGTGTCATCTTTAATTTCTTTCATCAGTGTATTATAGTTTTCTGAGTACAGGTCTTTGACCTTCTTAGGTAGGTTTATTCCTAGGTATTTTATTATTTTTGTTGCAATGGTGAAGGGATTGTTTCCTTAATTTCTCTTTCTGATCTTTTGTTGTTAGTGTATAGGAATGCAGGAGATTTCTGTGCATTAATTTTGTATCCTGCAACTTTACCAAATTCATTGATTAGCTCTAGTAATTTTCTGGTGGCATTTTTAGGATTCTCTCTGTATAGTATCATGTCATCTGCAAGCAGAGACAGTTTTACATCTTGGTTTCCCATTTGTATTCCTTTTATTTCTTTTTCTTCTCTGTTTGCTGTGGTTAGGACTTCCAAAACTGTGTTGAATAATAGTGGTGAGAGTGGACATCCTTGTCTTGTTCCTGATCTTAGAGGAAATGCTTTCAGTTTTTCACCATTGAGAATGTTTGCTGTGGGTTTGTCGTATATGGCCTTTATTATGTTGAGGTAGGTTCCCTCTATGCCCACTTTCTGGAGAGTTTTTATCATAAATTGGTGTTGAATTTTGTCAAAAGCTTTTTCTGCATCTATTGTGATGATCATATGGTTTTTCTTCTTTAATTTGTTAATATGGTGGATCACATTGATTCATTTGTGTATATTGAAGAATCCTTGCATCCCTGGGATAAATCCCACTTGATCATGGTGTATGATCCTTTTAATGTGTTGTTAGATTCTGTTTGCTAGTATTTTTTTGAGGATTTTTGCATCTATATTCATCAGTGATATTGGTCTGTAATTTTCTTTTTTTGTAGTATCTTTGTCTGGTTTTGGTATCAGGGTGATGATGGCCTCTTAGAATGAGTTTGGGAGTGTTTCTTCCTCTGAAGTTTTTTGTAAGAGTTTGGGAAGGATGGGTGTTAGCTCTTCCCTAAATGTTTGATAGAATTCACCTGTGAAGCCATCTGTCCTAGACTTTGGTTTGTTGGAAGATGTTTAATCACAGTTTCAATTTCAGTGCTTGTGATTGGTCTGTTCATATTTTCTGTTTCTTCCTGGTTCAGTCTTGGAAGGTTATACCTTTCCAAGAATTTGTCCATTTCTTCCAGGTTGTCTATTTTATTGGCATAGAGTTGCTTATATTAGTCTCTTATGATGCTTTGTATTTCTGTGGTGTCCATTGTAACTTCTCCTTTTTCATTTCTAATTGTATTGATCTGAGTCCTCTCCCTCTTTTTCTTGAAGTATCTAACTAAAGGTTTATCAATTTTGTTTATCTTCTCAAAGAACCAACTTTTAGTTTTATTGATCTTTGTTATTGTTTTGTTTGTTTCTATTTCATTTATTATGCTCCTTTATGGTGTCTTTCCTTCAGCTAACTTTGGGTTTTGTTTGTTCTTCTTTCTCTGGTTCCTTTAGGTGTAAGTTTAGATTGTTTATTTGAGATTTTTCTTGTTTCTTGAGGTAGTCTTGTGTAGCTATAAACTTCCCTCTTAGAACTGCTTTTGCTGCATCCCATAGGTTTTGGATCATCGTGTTCTCATTTTCATTTGTCTGTAGGTAGTTTTTGATTTTCTCTTTGATTTCTTCAGTGATCTCGGTTATTTAGTAACAAACTGTTTAGCCTCCAAGTGTTTGTGTTTTTTCCGTTTTTTTCCTTTTAATTGACTTCTAATCTCATAGTGTTGTGGTCAGAAAAGGAGCTTGATATGATTTCAGTTTTCTTAAATTTACTGATGCTTGATTTGTGACCCAAGATGTGATCTATCCTGGAGAATGACCATGTGCACTTGAGAAGAAAGTGTAATCTGCTGTTTTTGGATGCAATGTCCTATAAATATCAATTAAATCTACCTGGTCTGTTGTGTCATTTAAAGCTTGTGTTTACTTATTAATTTTCTGTCTGGATGATCTGTCCATTGGTGTAAGTGTGGTGTTAAAATCCCCCACTATTTTTGTGTTACTCTCGATTTCCTCTTTTATAGCTGTTAGCAGTTGTTTTGTGTATTGTGGTGCTCCTATGTTGGGTGCATATATATTTATAATTGTTATATCTTCTTCTTGGGTTGATCCCTTGATCATTATGTAGTGTCCTTCCTTGTGTCTTGTAACATTCTGTATTTTAAAGTCTATTTTAACTGATGTGAGTATTGCTACTCCAGCTTTCTTTTGATTTCCAATTTTCATGGAATATCTTTTTCTATTCCCTCACTTTCAGTCTGTATGTGTCTGAAGTGGGTCTCTTGTAGACAGCATATAGATGAGTCTTCTTTTTGTATCCATTCAGCAATCCTGTGTCTTTTGGTTGGAGCATGTAATCCATTCACGTTTAAGGTAATTATTGATATGTACCTATTACCATTTTTTTAATTGTTATGGGTTTGTTTTTGTAGGTCCTTTTCTTCTCTTGTGTTTCCCACTTAGAGAAGTTCCTTTAGCATTTGTTGTAGAGCTGGTTTGGTGGTGCTGAATTCTCTTAGCTTTTGCTTGTCTGTAAAGGTTTTGATTTGTCCGTTGAATCTGAATGAGATCCTTACTGGGTAGAGTAATCTTGGTTGTAGCTTCCACCATTTCATTACTTTTAAATATGTCCTGCCACACCCTTCTGGCTTGCAGAGTTTCTGCTGAGAAATCAGCTGTTAACCTTGTGAGAATTCCCTAGTATGTTATTTGTCGTTTTTCCCTTGCTGTTTTCAATAATTTTTCTTTGTCTTTAATTTTTGTCAGTTTGATTACTATGTGTTTCAGTGTGTTTCTCCTTGGGTTTATCCTGTATGGGACTCTCTGCATTTCCTGGACTTGGGTGGCTATTTCCTTTCCCATGTTAGGGAAGTTTTCAACTATAATCTCTTCAAATATTTTCTTGGGTCCATTCCTCTCTCTCTTCTCCTTCTGGGACTTCTATAATGCAAATGTTGTTGTGTTTAATGTTATCCGGGAGGTCTCTTAGGCTGTCTTCATTTCTTTTCTTTCTTTTTCCTTTATTCTATTCCACAATGGTGAATTCCACCCTTCTGTCTTCCAGGTCACTTATCCTTTCTTCTGCCTCAGTTATTATGCTATTGATTCCTTGTAGTGTAGTTTTCATTTCAGTTATTGTATTGTTCATCTCTGTTTGTTTGTTCTTTACTTCTGCTCGGTGTTTGTTCTTTAATTCTTCTAGGTCTTTGTTAAACATTTCTTGCATCTTCTCGATCTTTGCCAACTTTTCTTTTTCCAAGGTCCTGGATCATCTTCACTATCATTATTCTGAGTTCTTTTTCTGGAAGGTTGCCCATCTCCACTTCATTTAGTTGTTTTTCTGGGGCTTTATCTTGTTCCTTCATCTGGTACATAACCCTCTGCCTTTTCATCTTGTCTGTTCTGTGAATGTGGTTTTCGTCCCACAGGCTGCAGGATTGTAGTTCTTCTGGCTTCTGCTGTCTGCCTTGTGGTGGATGAGGCTCTTTAAGAGGCTTGTGCAAGCTTCCTGGTGGGAGGGACTGGTGGTGGGTAGAGTTGGGTGTTGCTCTGGTGGGCAGAGCTCAGTAAAACTTTAATCTGCTTGTCTGCTGATGGGTGGGGCTGGGTTCCCTCCCTGTTGGTTGTTTGGCCTGAGGCGACCCAGCACTGGAGCCTACGCGGCTCTTTGGTGGGGCTAATGGCAGACTCTAGGAGGGCTCACGCCAAGTAGTACTTCCTAGAACTTCTGCTGCCTGTGTCCTTGTCCCTGCGGTGAGCCACAACCACCCCCTGCGTCTGCAGGAGACCTTTGAACACTATCAGGTAGGTCTGGTTCAGTGTCCTATGAGGTCACTGCTCCTTCCCCTGGGTCCCGATGCACCCACTACTTTGTGTGTGCCCTCCAAGAGTGGAGTCTCTGTTTCCCCCAGTCCTAAGTTCTGCAATCCAATCCCGCTAGCCTTCAAAGTCTGATTTTCTAAGAATTCCTCCTCCCATTGCCAGACCCCCAGGTTGGGAAGCCAGATGTGGGGCTCAGAACCTTCACTCCAGTGGATGCACTTCTGTGGTATAAGTGTTCTCCAGTCTGTGAGTCACCCACGTAGCATTTATGGGATTTGACTTTATTGTGACTGTGCCCCTCGTACCATCTCATTGTGGCTTCTCCTTTGTCTTTGGATGTGGGGTATCTTTTTTGGTCAGTTCTAGTGTCTTCCTGTTGATGACTGTTCAGCTGTTAATTTTGATTCCAGTGCTCTTGCAAGAGGGAGTGAGCGCATGTCCTTCTACTCTACCATGTTGAACCAATCTTTACTCTCATTTTTATTTCCAAGTACCTGAATGCTTCAGATATTCAAAATAATCAGTACATTGGCACTGTTATTGGGGCTTCTTAGACAAGACATGGTACTATAAATCTGGGTGCCACATTTCATACGAAGTTGGATTTCAGTCGTGGAAAATTCTAGACTCTGTCTCTGCGTACATCTGCTGAATCTGTGATTATTCTATGGTCTTTTGAGAAGAGCTGACTTCCTGTAAAATAGAAATCTTCTGAAATAATACAAGACCTGTTATTTATTCTCACACCTGTTTGCTCTAATATTACTGAGTAAGAAAGAGGTTGGAGTAGAAAAGTATTGAGTCTTCAGAAGGAAGGTGGGTTTTCCTTATTCTTGAGTCTCTGCAGACTATACTGTATCTCCTCTTCTCCTTCGTTTCCAGGTGATGCTCTTCTGTAGGGATTCTACCCTCAAATTCAGCTGAACATTTACACAAAGCTCATTTATTTTACTTTACTTTACATTTTATTTATTTTATTTTATTTCATTTCATTTTAATCATACCACCCTCTGAATTAGCCTTCTTATCCCTTTTTATGGGTGAGAAAACTTGAGATTGTGGTTATATAGGTAGTGGCAGAGCTGACTCCCCAAACCTCGACCTTCTGATTCCAGGTCCAGTGGTCTGTTCCTGTCTCACCTCCTCTCTTCAGCCCAAATAAAACTCTTCCCTGAGCTATGCCATGATTTCAAGCCAACAGCCATGACTCACCTGCAAAACCCTCTTTGTTCTGCCGAGCTCCCTGCCTGTTCCAAAGGAAGGTCCTGCTGGTTTGATTTATTCTCTTATTAAAAGCCCCTTCGTGATGCTGACCTGTAGCCTGGGACACTGACTGCGTCCCTCCCTGTCAAATAGTCACGTTTGCACAAGTTGATTTCTGCTTATCCCTCTCCCATCCCTTATGTTATAAACAATTTATGAGCAGGGATGAACATCTTTCTGTGTCCCCAATAGAATCCAATATAAAGTCTTGCACCAGAGAGTGGAGACGGTCATTGAATTGACCTGAGACTCCCTGTAGAAGGCCTTACAGATACTGAAAGTCATTCCCTTCAACGGTTGCATTTTATGAGTTAGGAGGACCAAGTTCATCAAAGGATAAAGACGTTGCTAAGTGAGCCTCTCCTTTTTGCTTCCCCCCTATGCTGAAGTATGTGCAGTAAGATAATGGATGAGTAAAAGTAAAATTCAGGGACAGATGGGGGGACATGTCAGTGAAAGTACCAGCCCCCCGAGAGCCATGAAAGAAAGCATTAAACTTCGCATCCAAGTGTAAATGAGAGTTGGTCTAGAGAGTATGGGACAGCAAGCCTGGAGGGTAAAGGATAAGGGAACCTGGATATAAACATCTCATACATAGAAGGTACCCCAAAATGTCTGGTGTCTAAGAGGACTGGTTCTTGTTTCTGCCCCTTGCTGGCCATATGAGTTTGAACTCTGAACTTAAAACCTCAGACTTCTCATCTGTTACACTGAAGATGATACTTTCAAACTCATTAGATTGTTATGCCGCGTAAAGCATGGCTGGAAGGAAATAGGGCCAGGTTGGTAGGTAGAATAATAGTTCCCCAAAGAGCTCCACTTCCTGATCCCTGGAACCGGTGTGAATGTTCTTTTACATGGGAAAAGGGACTTTGCAGATGAGATTAGATTAAGGATTTGGGGGTGGGGAGATTGTCTTGGGTGATTTGGCTGGCCCAGTGTAGTCACAAGAGTCCTTGTGAGTGAAGGAGGGAAGTGGGAGTGTCAGAGTCAGGAGCTGGGAGGACAGAAGCAGAGGCTGGAGTGAAGTGACTGCTGGCTGTGAAGATGGAGCGGGCAGTGAGCCAAGCAACGTGGGCCGCTCACAGAGTTTCTAAGCTTTAGGTTCTCACTGGTACTCACGTACTGTCACGGTACTGCACCTATTTTGGTTCTTTTTCTGAGCCATGGACCCCTTTGGCAGTGCGTTATGTAGTCTATGGACTGTTCTCATAACTCTCTTTTTAATTCATAAACTCAGTACTATGACCCAGAAATTCCATTACATTGAATTACACTTAGCACATACTAAAAACCCCCCAAATGTTGCGTTAAAGTAATGTTTGAACCTTAGTAACACATTAAAAAAGATCTTGTGGCAGGCCTTAAATCTACTGTACTTTAGAAGTTGTAATGAGCATAAATGGTATTTCAACGTATCTCCAAAAACTGAAATGTGAGATGAAAATATTCATGATATCTTTTGGTGATAAAACTGCAGGTACTGCTGATACTATTGCATTTCATTGCCTCATCATTGGAGGAACTGGTAGATTTCAATTTGAGCTTATGGAATGAAAATGTAATTTTTCCCCATCCTGGTTCAGTTGCCGTGCCTTCCAACTCCATTTCTGACTGTGGACCCCCTTGGGGCATGAATCCCTGGGAAGGGCATTTTGGAAAGACCACAAGGCAGTATAGTGAAACTTCGAGATCTTAATACTTATATCAAGAGTCAGTGTGTGTATTCTGTAAATCCTTGAGGATCGAAGGGACTGTAGGTCTATTAGGACAAGGATATGACTGCTTTGTTTCATTTGGAAAAGGGCAAGGGCTTTCTTGTACCAATTGAATTTTATTTGGGTTTCATGGTTTGAAACATTATTTATAAAGCTAACTTACCAGGAGAGAAGACCTATCCAATAAACAGTAAGATAAGGTAGTGAGAGTGAAATTAATTCCATGTTAGCAAAGCATTAAACACAATGAAAGGAATGAATAGTGTTATAAGAATTTCAGTGCAGTTGCCTCTTAGAGGCAATTTTGGTTAAATAACAGTGGCCAGGAAAATTTTCTTGACCAAGAATGAGTAAGAAGGTCCATTAAATTGTGCTGACCATTGTCACTGCGCAGTATCCACAGGTGAGCTTCAACCAGAGTTCTAAGAGGAACTCATTAGCTAGCATATCAGATAGCTTATTTGGTGACGGTTTTAGGCTTAGATAGGGCACATGGCTTTGCACATAGTAGGCATGCTCGTGGTTGTCAAATTCGTTTGGCTCAAGAACATTTTACACCATATTCACAACCTGGATGACATTTTTTGAAAAGTCAATATTTGTTTTCACTGCATAATTTAGAAAGCTATGGTAGCCCCAAGTAAACACGTAGCTTTTCAAAGCTGTCCACACCTGCCATGTAACAGGAGCGAGCATGATACATTTTTATTTTGTTAACATGAGGCTCAATAGGTTTGCAGAATTAATACCAGTAGAGCTTTTCTGCAGGCGGTTTCCATTGCAGATTTACTGGAGGAAGGACTCGCAAATGTCTTTGTAAGTGATGGATTTGACAGCCGTGTCTTGAAATAGAAGACAGAGAGCTCTTAGTTACTTACCATGGTTTAAATAGTCAATATTTTCTCATTCGTCTTTCGGATAAAAAGTTACATAGGGACAAAACACCCCAATGAAGCATAGCTACTGGGAATGTGCCCTCATGGATTCACTGTTTGTGGCAAGGTTTAAAACCGAGTGGCAGTGGGGTTTATTGTGAGGAGTGTTGCCTGAAGAGCTCACATAATTCACAATGCACAATGCATCTGAGACTGATTTTCTTCTGGGGGAAAAAAAAAAAAATCAAATGGGGTTGTCTTCATGGTCCGTAAATCTACAGCCATCATATCTTATTGTTGCTTTGATACTGTGTTTATTTCCTCAGTATTATCTCTAATAGCTCAGAATTTGTACTTAAATTAACAGCATGGTATATGTTGGCAGTGGTTCAAAAGCTATTGATTTTTGGCCGCGTTCTTCAGCATCAGTGAATGTATGGATGACGTTCTTATAGATGAAAACAATGTAACTTGTAAGTATTAACTGTTAAAACAACAGCCATGAAAGTTGGTAAAATGATTTGCAGAATTGGTTTCCACAGTGCTAACAAAGTCTGTGTATCTGCATACCAGCTAAATTGGCACCTTCATATGGTGTAGCACAAACTGTTTATAGTTTCCATGGCTCAACAACTTTGAAATGAAATTCATCACCTTTTGTTTAATTGTGAAAGGTTAACTTTGTACATATAGTGAAACTTTAATAATATTTCATATCCTATCTTACTATATCAAATTTGTATATTTCAGAACTGCCAAAAAGAAGCAACCAAATTATGTTGGCCACAAGTTATATTTCTAGATAAATAACTCTAAAGTCCGTACTGTCATAATGAACTTTAAATCCATGTCCAGATTATTTTGTTGTACTAGAATGTCATTGCATTGGTAAACTGAGTTCACAAACTGGCAATCCAAAAGAGACACTGTTGGCTGTGATTCATACTGATCCACTGTGCTTTCAGCGTTTTGATTGTACTTTAAAATGTTCAAATCCACTGCGATCATCATATTAGAACAGAATACGGGCATACCTCAGGGATAATGTAGGTTTGGTTCCAGACCACCGCAATAAAGAAAATATTGCAATAAAGCGAGTCACACTAGTTTTTTGCTTTCCCAGCACATATAAACGTTATGTTTACACCGTACTGTAGTCTGTTAAGTGGCAGAACAGACAGTTATCCAGCAACCCACGTGCAGCATCGTGGTGGACCATGGTCTTGGTCAGCAGAGCAATTGTGAATAAATCAGCTTGCCCAGGACCGAATGATGGACCAGGGATTTGGGGTTCTCATTATTTCCCCAATCAAATCAGTTCCTCCTTTTCCCATTTGGAGGACTGAGTGTGAGAAGGCAGTAGTTTCAAACCAATTCTGCAGCAACACAGGGAGAGGAGTATTGCCCTCTGTAAACTATTCGTCTCTGTATTTCTCATTATCTAGCATAGCACATAATAGGCATTAACAAATAGATGGATGGATCTCATGTGTATTTATTTATTGAAGCCTGATAACTACAAAATATTATGGCTGTAGCTGCCATAGATATAAAGTGAGCTACCTTCATAATTCATCAGTGAAGGGAATTTTCAATAAAGATCTCTTTGGGTGGCATTTCAGGTACTCAGTTAGGCAGACAGGAACAAGGGGAAAAAAATCGCAGTGCCTAGAGAAGGGTGGAAAGTTACACTTAAGCTGGAGCAAAGCATCCGATTAGAGTCCTCCTTTGCAATGTACAGCTCTTCATCGTACTAGTAAGCTTCGATTTTGACAGCAAGTTTCCAAAGAAGAAAGCAGTCGAAGTTCTGTTTCAAGTTCTATGTTGCGAAAATGTGGTAATTTAATTGAAAGAAAGGCTAACTTCGTCCCCACGGAGCCTTTCAAAAATGGGGCTGCTCTATGCACTACTGCTGTGTGGGAAAGCTAGGTGGTGTCTCAGATGTTCTCCTACGCGTAGAAATCATACTGTATGGGGGAAGGCTTCGCATTCTTCTGTAGGTGTCAGACGGTTTTGTCTGTGCTCTGTGTAGTTCAGCACTGTTGTGTTCTGGTTGCTCTTCAATGCAGAACGCTTCTAGGGCTTACATATTTAAGATAACTTCAAGCCATGTGTTCCTTAGCTACTATCAGAATGAAGAAGAACTTTCAACTTCAACAGAGCCATATTCATCATGCCAAAGCACATTCCACGGTATCCATCTTCCCGTGTACTAGATTTTGTTGTTCTAAACTCACACTGAGTTATGACTTGCTGCTTTGTTTTGGGGAATTATCCTTCCTGCCACCAAAAAAAAAAAAAAAAACCAACATGCTGCCTTTTATTTCTGGGCCAACTTACCGGGCTCTGAATAGGACACAGATTCATTTTGACCTTCTGATTTAGCATGTAAATTAGGATACTTGAAGCAGAAGGCTCCGTCTTTTCTTCCAGTTCCTGTGTGATGCCAACAGATTGGTGTGAATCAAAATGGAATGCGTAGAAGCAGATACCATTTATAAAATGTCAATTAGAGGAGGCTAAACTGCATATAAAAGTTAGCTAACTGGTGATATCAATTAGAATAGCTTTCCGTGTTGCTTAATACCACTATTATCATTTTGCAATAGAGTAAAAATATAATGTAATCCCTACCCTGTTAGTTCGAAAAATCTTGTGAACCTACATGTGTGTCAGTATTCCTTAACTGTATTTACCTGCAGAAAACCCTGAAGCTCCCGGTGGCTGGTTTGCATCTTATACACACCATTGACTTCTGGGCTCCAGGAAAAAAAATACTACATGGATTTCATGTAAAGAATCTGAATGATTAAGGGAACACTTCAAATTCCAGGGTTTTTCCCCCCACCTATGAACAGGCTTTCTTAATTATCTAGATTAGAGGTTGGCAAAGTATGGCCCTTGCCTAACTCTGGCCCACTACCTCTTTCTGTATGGTCCGTGAACTAAGAATATTCTTTACATTTTTAAATGGTCATATTTCAAATGATTATTTAGGCATTGATATAATAGCCTTGATTCTCCTTCTTGGCTCTCAAAGCCTAACATATTTACTGTTTGGTCTCTTAAGAAAAAGTTTGCCAACCTCTGATCTAGACTGTGGTGATAAAACTCTGCCTAATTGCATTGCCATGATGGATACGTAGCAGGTAAAAAATGCCTTTCTGGGCCACGTTCATGCTGCCGTCAACAGATAACTGTAGTAAGCAAAGCACCACTGCAGTTGGTGTTGTGAGTGGAGAAACTTTATAAACTAAGAAGGTTCTTAATTCCAGCTTTTCACATAAGCCACTGAACAGCCATCAGTGGAAAAGAGATGAGAGTGGTCCTCAACCTAAACCTGCATATTCCCCCGAAAGGCTGCCACAAAACCCACAGGGATTAGGGCTCATTCAGAGCCACAAGGTATGGTCAGTTTGGCAAAGACAGAATGAAACAGGGATACATCAGCAAAATGGTAATTTTTGCTAATATTTTGGCCAGTGAGGATATGGGTGTGAATTTCACTTAGAAATCTACATGCCAGCGACAATAACTGAAAACAGTATTTATTAAATCTCGTAACTCCGTAAAAGTAAAACTCATGACCTTGGAAGGTAGGGGAGTAACCTTTCCTGGATTGTAAATCCAGAGCAATCTGGCTGTGAGACTCTGGGGTCTTGAGGTCATGCAAGTTAATGGGGGGCTCTTTCGTACCAGGCAGCAGTGGCCATTTGACACTGGCAAGCCCTATTAGCTCTGCACCTGTCGAAGGGGTGGCACCTGCTCTCTTTCCCTCAATACTTGCCACACGCCCATGGCTTTGGTGACAAAGCTGACGTCCCATCATTTTGATCTCATGAGCTTGTCCTGTCCTTGGCCTTATTTTCAATTCCACATCTCGTTAATAATGATCGCAACTCATTTCTTCACGTGCTTCAGTTCTCATTAAATTTGTGGAAGATGCGCCTGGCAGAACTTGCTTTTCTTTCTCCCTTTAAGCTGTGATGAATCTTTCAAACAGGCCTTAATGAAATTCTTCAGAATCAGCCTTTGCGTCCTGGTGCCAGGCCCTGGAGAACTCAAAGCACCTGTGGAGCAAACCTGTTCCAGAGATGAATGTGAACCAGGAGGCCGAGAACTCACACTTCCTGAGCTTGGCGGGTTGCTTAGATGCTCCCCGACTCACTTTTTTTCATATAAGCCAAACTGGATTTTCACAAAATCCATACCATGCTTCCATTTGTTTAAAAGTTTGATTCTGTAAGTGACACTAAGATAGAGTGTGTCTAAGAAAATGGGCTTTATACCACAAACTTAAGTGCCTAAAATGACACAAGTGTATCATTTTATAGTTCTAGAGGTGAGAAGTCCTAAAATCAAGGTGTCCGCAGGGCTGGTTCCTTCTGGATGCTCTGGGGGGAGAATTTATTTCTTTGCCCTTTCCAGCTACTAGAGGCTATCCTCATTCCTTGGTGTGTGTCCTCCCATCATTTTGCCTTTTCTCTCTCTGCTTCCCTTGTCACATTGCCCTGTCTCTGACTCTGAGGCTCCTGCCTCCCTCTTACAAGGACCCTTGTGATTACCAGAAGAATCCAGAACAATCTCCCCATTTCAAGATCATTAACTTAGTCACACTTGCAAAGTCCCTTTGCCAGGTTCTGAGAATTAGGACGTGGACGTCTTGGGGGGTTGGGCGGGGCAGGGAGAGGGATGGCTTTGTTCTGTCCACCACATACTCCTAACATGTCTCTGTTCAAAAACCCTTCGATCGTTCCCTGTAGCCCAGAGAGTAAACTATTTTCAAGATGCATCTTTCTTTTAAAAATAAAACAAAGACTGCAAGAAAACTGGTTATCAGGAAACTCAGTGACATGTTTAAACTTAATTGTAATAACCATGTGGAACTTTAAATTTGCATATTTTATTATTTTCCTTGGTCCTATTTTATTTTGTGTAACTTAGTTTTACTAGTTCTGCTTTTCTGGAAAGAGGTTGATGATTTTATTCTTGTAAATGAATACGTTTACAGTTTTCTATCTTCCTATCTAAGGAAAAACCCAGTTCTTCCCTATTACGTCTTTCTTTCCTGTGTGTCTCCTTTACCTTCAAGAGAATGTTTCACTTCTGACACTTCTGGTCACCAAATGTGTGGAGGTTTTTTTCCCCACATCGAGCAATTCTCTCTGACACCAGCTGGGTGTCCTACAATTTAATGCAATTCTTTGCTTTAAGTTTTATTTTTATTGGAGTATAGTTGATTTACAATGTTGTGTTAGTTTCAGGTGTACACCCGGGTACACATGAGTGATTTTCGCTGGGTCTGCTGGATGTCCTACAATTTAATGCAATTCTTTTTTTTTAAATTTTATTTTGTATTGGAGTATAGTTGACTTACAATGTTGTGTTAGTTTCAGGTGTACACCTAGGTCCACGTGAATGATTTTTTCTGGGTATACGCGAGGAGTGCGATATACGGATCATGTGGTCGTTCTATTTTCAGTTTTTTAAGGAGACTCCATACTGTTCTCCATCGTGGCTGTAATCACTTGACATTCCCAAAAACAGCGTCGGAGGGTTCCCTTTCTCCATGCCTTCTCCCACATTTATTGTTTGTAGCCTTTTTGATGATGGCCATTCTGACTGGTGAGAGGTGATACCTCGTTGTAGTTTTGATTTGGAGTTCTCTAATAATTAGCGATAGGGAGCAGCTTTTCATGTGCTTTAAAAAAAAAACAAAAACAGTGTGCATTAAATTTACCTCTTGAAATTGGCTTCTTTTTTTTTTAACATCTTTATTGGGGTATAATTTCTTTACAATGGTGGGTTAGTTTCTGCTTTATAACAAAGTGAATCAGTCATACATATACATATGTTCCCATATCTCTTCCCTCTTGCGTCTCCCTCCCTCCCACCCTCCCTATCCCACCCCTCCAGGCGGTCACAAAGCACCGAGCCGATATCCCTGTGCCATGCGGCTGCTTCCCACTAGCTATCTACCTTACGTTTGGTAGTGTATATATGTCCATGCCTCTCTCTCGCCCTGTCACAGCTCACCCTTCCCCCTCCCCATATCCTCAAGTCCGTTTCTTGAAGGCCTGCCCTGTTTTGAATTCTTTTTCGATTACCTACCCCAGGACTTTTCTTGAAGGCAGGTGTTCTTCACAGCCCCGCAGGCCTTGCGAATATGAAGTGTCCATAAGCACCTGTTGTAAAGTTGTTGTTATGGGAAATGTCCACAAGGGGACAGCATTTCCTCATGCCCCACTAGGGTTACGCCTGCAACGAGAGCCTTAGAGAAAGTCTTGTCCTTGGGTCATAGATTTGAGTGGAATGTGTCAGAGGAAACACCCCAGGCCTTGTGTCTCCTTACTTCTTCCCCCTTACCCTTCACCCTGGCAGACAATTCCCAAGCCCTGCCAAAACCGCTATGCTGAGCTTGCCGTCGTACCTAGGTGGGGAGACTCCGAGGAAGGAGGCTGCCCGTGGGAACCCCACCACCAGGAGACTTGGAGACCAGGGGACCTTTCAGAGCCCTTCCAGCCCAGAGGGTCCACCGTCCTTTCTGTGCCCTAGGCTTGCTTTAGCTGTAGGAGGGCCCGCCTGCATCTGGAGATTGTGGTCCCATCCGCAGGGGACCAGGCACTCCAGGTCCAAAGGGGACTCATTTGCAGGCACATCCTCCCCAGCTCCCTCTGCCCCATGACAGTCCAGCCTTGGAACCCAAGGCTGCTCCGGCTCCTGGGATGTGACACCAGCCCAGGTCACCGAGGCCTGAGGGGAATACTGTAGGCCTTCCTTCCCCGCTCCCTCCCTTTCTTTTAAAATTTTTCTTCTTATTTTTATTGGAATATAATTGATTTACAATGTTGTGTTTGTTTGGGGTGTACAGCAACCTGATTCAGTTATACATATACATACCTCTATTCTTTTTCAGATTCTTTTCCCATATAGGTTATTACCGAGTGTTGAGTAGAGTTCCCTGTGCTATGCAGTAGGTGCTTGTTGATTATCTATTTTATATATAGTAGTGTGTATATGAAATTAATGCCATTCTGACACAGTTTTCCCAGAGGTATGGTCAGACCTCACCAGTTAAGGGCTCAGCCCCACAAGACTGCCCCCTGGCTGCCCCCATGCACACCTCAGACATCAGTTGCAAGCCCAGGTTGTTTTGACTAACTGGCAAGAGATTGGAGGTTCTAACAGCCCTCTCCTCGGGTTCGATTCATTTGCTAGAGCAGCTCTCAGAACTCAGAGAAACACTTACCTACATTTATTAGTTTGTTAAAGGGTATGATAAAGGATGCAGATGAACATTCAGGTGGAAGAGATGTGTAAGGTTAGGGCTGGGTACGGGGAAGGGTCAGTGCTTCCTTGCCCTCTCCCAGCTGCTCCCAGCCCCTCCACATGTTCAACCAAGAAGCTCTCTGAACTCCATCCTTTGGGGTTCTTATGGAGGCTTCATTATGTAGCTATGATTGATTAAATCACTGGCCACTGGTGATGGAACTCGATCTCCAGCCCTTCTCCCCTCCTCAGAGGTTAGGGGATGTGACTGGAAATTCTGACCCTCTGATCATAGGGTTGGCTCCACTAGCAACCAGTTCCATCCTATGTACAGTCCACAGGTCATCTTATTAGCATAATAAAGGACACCTTTATCACTCTCAGCACTTAGGAAATTCCAAAAGTTTGGAGAGACCAAACCTATATTTCTTATGATAAATCACAATATCACCTTTCTGTATATAGATTTTAAAAATACTGAGTAGCACCCCTATTTTCTTTTTGGAAGTAGTAAGGTATTGGAACCCTACAATCAGGCCTTTGCTCCTCTATAGTTCGGCCAAAAAAAAAAATTTTTTTTTTCATCTCCATCCCCTAGTCACCAGCCTATAAATCTGCAAGCAGCATGTGGTTTCTTTAGGGTATGGAGGTTTTGTAAATTTGTTCATATAATTCCTTGTTTTATTTAGGTCTCTTTCCAAGTGGCAGAAACTCATCCAGTTTGTCTTGAGCAAAAGGGGCATATGGTGGCTCTTGTGAAGGCAGAGTCTGCTGTGTTTAGAGCTTGATTGAGCTTCAAACAATCGCTCCAAGATGCAGTTTTTCTCTGCTTTTTGCCTCTGCTTTCTTCTGGATTTTATTTTTATTTTTAGGGTCCATGTGGTGGCAAGATAGTAGCTCAATCCTTACATCCATTCCAGTTTCATTGTCATGGGATGGAGCAATATACTTGTCAGTTGGGTATAAGACTGGGTTAGCTCTAACTGGGCCTGCTTGGGTAGACTTGAACTCATCACTAAACCAATTATTGTTTTTGTTTTTTTAATGTTACTGAAGTATAGTTGATTTACAATGTTGTGTTAATTTCTGCTGTACAGTAAAGTGATTCAATTATACATATATATATTCTTTTTCATATTCTTTTCCATTATGGTTTATCACAGGATACTGCATAGAGTTCCCTGTGCTATACAGTAAGACCTTATTGTTTACTAAACCAATTATTGTGACACGGGGGGCAAATGCAAGGCACTGACATCTTAGGTTTGGGTCATAGGATCTGTAACTGGAGCTGGAAGGTAGGGCCCCGCCTGAATCATGAGATTGAAAATAGGGAAGGCCTTTTACTGAAGGAGAAACAGGCTCTTACTAGCACTGAAGGCAGTGGATGCTGAGTGGCCCCAAATTAACAGCTGTTGGAATTGGCCCATCTAGAATGCTTTCTGCCTTCTCTGTTATTAGTATCTGCACCTGTTCTTTAATGTCTAGCTAAAACTTTACCTCTTCTCAGAGTCCTTCCTGCAGGACTCCCAGCACAAAATGATCTGAAATTTATCTGATTATTTATGAGTCTATCCATTCATTTAACAAACATCTAAAGTATGTTCATCTCTCAGACCCTGTGTGCTGAGCACAGAAATGCTGATTATTTCCTCTGAGGGACTTACTATGTAGTGGAGGTGACTGGCATTTCACAGGTAATTATAGGTGTGATGAGTGTTACAGCAGGAGAAGGGGTGGGAGAATTTAACAGGAACGTTTAGTCTGCGGGATCTGAGAGGGCTTCGGTGAGGAGGTGTTATTTAACGTGGATCCCAGAATTACCTAGAGGCAGATGAGGATTGTTTAGGATAAGGGGAATGGACTGTTGTAGATGGGAGGAAGTAGAAAGGCCCAGAAACTGTCATACACCAAGGGTCTCAAACTCCTCTGTCTGGGAGGATGAATCATGGAAAGAAGCTGGCCAGGATGAGGACAATGCATGTTGGCAGCGTTGTGAGTCAAAAGGCTATTTCAAGTCGCTTTGTCCTCTCAGCTCTAGTCCAGGTTGCCAGATCTTCTGTTTCTGAAGAGTTTTTATTTCACATTTGCCAATTCAAAAATTTTGGCAATGGATTAAAATTTTAAAAACACTGTATGGGCAAAATAAAATTCTGCGGGCTAAGGTGGTCCTTTGTCTAGGTTTGCTACCTCTGCTGCACGTGAATCTGTTCAGGGAGTTAAAACTTGTAATCTCTGGACTCCACTCCCAAGAAGTTCTAACTTGAGATCGCTGGGATGAAGCTTTGTTTTCCCAATTTTTAACCAGTGTTCCTTCCATGAGATTCTTTTGCCATTGTTTTTAATCCCATGCTTTGAGAAACACAATTAAAGGAAATGAAAGAAATTTAACAGGACTAGACTGTAGAACTTGGGAAGGAAAGAGAAGCAAAGTCTGGTCCTACAGACCTTATAGGATATGGCATGTGAGGTTTGGATTTTATCCGGAATTTAATGGGAAACCATTGAAAGTTTTAAGGAGAAAAGAGTGTTTTGCTAGAGTGGGCTTGATACTGGCTCATGAAAGCTGATTGTTCCTTTTTCAAAATTTGTGCAAGCAACTGGTTAAACCATTGGTAGCTTGAAATCTGCCATGGTGGGACTGTTTACACTGTGGAAATTGGCAAATGCCACAAGTCACTCTTCCTACCCTTGAGAGGGTTGTTAAATACTTACCATACACGATTGAGTGTGTTCATCAAATTTCTATGTTTGTATTTATATGTACGTATGTATATTATATATATATTTATTTTTAAAGATGGCACTTAAAAAATTATTTATTTATTTGGTTGCACTGGGTCTTAGTTGCAGCTCGCCAGCTTCTTAGTTGTGGCTTTCCGGCTCCTTAGCTGTGGTATGTGGGCTCCTTAGTTGTGGCAGGCAGTCTCCTTAATTGTGGCTCTCAGGCTCCTTAGTTGTGGCATGCGAACTCTCAGTTAAGGCATGCATGTGGGATCTGGTTCCCTGACCAGGGATTGAACCCAGGCCCCCTGCATTGGGAGCACAGAGTCTTAACCACTGCTCCCCCAGAGAAGTCCCTATATATATTTAATATATAAAAATATATTTAATATATAAAAATATATTTATATAGTACATACGTTATATATACATATATACACATACATATACATGTAGACTCACATGTATATAATTTCAAAGATCCATCTGGCTGCATTGTGGCGAGTGGATTGGCGAGGGCAAGATGGAAGATGTAATGGTCTAGGTGAGAAATTACGATGGCAGAGGAAAGAGATGAGTAACTCGATGTATAAGCTTTTGCCTCAAAACTTACGGCTTAAAACGTGAGCATTTATTCAGCTCACACTTCTTCTGGACAGTTCTCTCGGTTTGTGACAAGCCGTTGGTTTAACTGGGTTTACTTGTCTGAGATCACTTGGAAGGTCAACTAGGGGCTGACTGGTCAGGATGGCTCCACCTACTTGTGTGAGGTTGGGTGGCTGCTGGCTGGGTGAGGGGGTGAGGGGACCACGTGTCTCTTGTCATCCAGAATTATCCAGGGCTTGTTCACAGGGCAGCGAGTTAAAAGAGCAGCAAGAAGGCAAGTCTTTAACACGCAAGTGCTTTTTCACTGTTTGCTGATGTCGTATTGGCCAAAGCAAGTCACAAGTCTAACCCTGATTCAGGTGTGGAAAAAGTCTCCAGCTCTTGATGGGAGAAGTTACCAAGTCACATTGCAAGGGCACAGATGAAAGGAGGGGAGGAATTTGTGGCCAAGTTGGCCATCCACCATGATGGATTTATGAGGTAGGAGACAGGGTTGTCAGGACACTGGTGATTGAACGTGGGAGGTGAGGGAGAAGTAAGAGTGAGGCACCATTAGTTAACTTGTGTGTTCATGTCATCTGCTCCCAACCAGAATATACCTATAGGACAGAGAGCATTACAAAGTGTAAGAAATTGCCCAACACCTTGAACGGTGATTTCTACCTCTTAGGCACGTATTTGCTGTCTAATTAAGTAAAATCATCCTCTTCTCCATTTTGTCACCTGCCTGAGTTTGATCAAGTCATAGCACCAGTTTTGCTACACATGGAATCTTACTTCATGTTCTTCATTTCCTTACAAATAAACCTTGCTCAGAACTTCGCTGTTCCAGAAAGTCCTACCTGAAAAATAACATCTACACACCCTGGTTCTTCCTGCCGTGATGCATTTGATAGTCATGTACGTTGAGATCTCGCTCTTTGGCCTCGGTCCTTTGTGTGTGTACTTGTATAGGTCAAGATGATTTGTAATTCTACTAACAATATACAGTGTTGAGATGTCCACTGTTATATTTATCCAATGAATGGAGTAGAGAAGCTTGTGTGCTCCATGGCGATGGGATCTCTTCCACTCAGCTACATCCCTGGTGCTTGCACCGTGTTGGGTACACGGTGGTCTGCAAATACCTATTCGTTGAAAGAGGGAGCCCTTGGGATTTATTCTGTAGTTCATGGACTCATATATCTGACTTTCTTCTCTAAACAAGACATGCGGAAGCACATCAGAAAACTAGCTTCCTTTCAAAGGCTACTTCCTTTGCTCCTCTAATTCCTCAGGAATTTCCATATCTGGAGAAACACTTCTGCCAGAAAAGTGTGTTTTATGCTTGTTCTTTCTGTAACCTTCAGTTCTTGTCCAAGTCACAATAAAAATCGAAGTATGTTTTTGAGTGCTAGTAAAGCACTTATAGCACTCTGAATTTAATTTTTCAAAATTAATTGTGATTTCCCTATTGAAGCATAAACCTGATTCAAAAGCACAGGCTTAGTTTAGGCTGTATAACTCTTGGTAGCCTATGTTTTTTCATCTGCATCAACACTTGGTTCTACAGTAGCTGTATTTTTTTTTTCTCTCTTTGTCTTTGATGCGGTCAATTCCTACTGCTCTTTGCCTTAGTGGGGTTAAGTGGATGATCATTAAAAAAAATAAAGAATCAGAGGCGTTCGGCCACATTCAATAAAGGGGTTACAGCATGCTTTCTGAGGGGTGGAGTGTATGTGTGTGTGTGTGTGTGTATATATATATATATATATATATATATATATATATATATATCCCCACCCCTTGATTCCAAATGATTAACAAAGACATCTTCTTGGCTCTCAGTTACCCTTATAACTTCAGGTAGGCCTAAGCCGTTCACTAAGATCAATACAT